CATACCCATGTGTGACTTTCACAGGTTTAAGTAATAATCCTCCAGCTTTTGAAATGGCAGGAGGATGAGTAAATGATGACAAAACTGACACCTTATATGAAACAAATGTGCTGAAATGCTCAAAATGAGGAATGTGATGTGAAAGTGTAAAAACAGGCACAGCGTTTTCTGACATAATCCAGCGCCTCTAGCTTCCTGTGTCCGAAGCCTTTTGACGTCTACAATAAATGAAGATTTTGTATAAATGGTGAGTCTGGCCTGCCACTGACATACAGATGAAGTCAGAATTATCCGACTCTCCTGTACATTCTCCCCCAATTTCTGTTAAACTGAGAGACGAGAGAACAAAAGAGCGCCCGGTGGAAACCCACGCTAACATGGGGAGAACATGCAAACTCCACAGAGAGATGCTAACTGACACAGCCGGGACTCAAACCAGCGACCTTCCTGTTGTAAAACCACAGTGCTAACCATTGCACCACAGTGCCTCCCTGTGAATAAATCAATAATACAGACACTTTTTTACACTGTACAGTCTTTCTAAGCTTCTCTCATGACCTTGTCCACGGGCGTTTGTCTCCATCCTCTCTAATAGCCTTCATTAAGCGTCCGTTTACACAGAATTAATAAATTAGTGGATGTGAAACGGCCGATCAGCCATGTTTTTCTGGCACAGATTGAAGCTGATGGAAAAAGCTGGAAAGCGATTCGGTACGCGACAGCTCTATTTTCAGTGACCTTTATGGAGACGGCCCCGAGGGCTCGGATAATCTCATTTAGCTTCGGTAATATCGCCTGTCATTAGGAAATGCATACAGTCATTTCACCTCCTGCTTCAGCTTTAATGCTTGTAATCTGAATCCAGTCACCGATGTCGTTCCATTTAACAGCGCTCTTTTTTATTATTAATTGATATGAATTAGCTAATAGGAAGCTAATCACACAGTCAGGACAAGATGGGATTGATTGTACACCACAGCCATCATGTATTATGTGTTATACACTATATATATTTAAAAAGACACTATATGAATATCTACGAACTCCTAAATCAAGAAGATTTTCTAGATGAGCAAAACATATTGTGTTGTTTTCAAAAATAATGAGTCAAAATTAATTGTTTTATTTTTATAAACAAGCAAAATAATCTGCTAATGGGGTGAGAAATCTTAAGTTTTTCATTAGAACATGCAAAATACCACTAAACAATCCCAGATAGCATACGAATGTGGGCCACTTTAGGCAGTTATGCAGCACTGGTGGTCCTCCTTCGGCCCAGACAAAATGAATGTGAGCCTGAAGTGGTCCACCTGTGCAATGGCAAAGAGGAGGGGGGGGGGGGTCAAAGACAGTGGCGTAGCGGACGGGCCCGCAGGGCACGCACCGTACGGGGAGTGGGGTCGTGTGATTAGGGGGCACCACGTCGTCACGATTTTCAATAATTGAATCCAGCAACCGCAATAATCAAACTCTTGGGAACAACTGTGGTCGGAACCAAAGTTCACAGGTCTGTGTTCTCTGAACTCCTCTCAAGCGGTGGACTACTTCATTCTGATTGCTTGCTGCCGAGCCGTGTCATAGCTCATTATCATAAAGTTGACTTGATTTCAACTCTTCTCGACGTTCACACAGGAGAAGATGCGCCACGCTGTTCCTCGCCGCCGGTGCTCGTTAAAAATGAATGACTTCTTTCTACTTTGACGCTTTCGCCACTTTAGATTTGTGACCGCTCCTGTATTTGCTGTCGTAAACACAAATGTATACTACAGTGTTTATTACAGTTCAGTTAATACTAAAGGATAGTGGAGCTTTCATTAACAGAGTTGTAAATACTATAATATAAACAGCATAATAGGCTTTACCATAGTAAAGATGGAGCATAGAATGTAAACAGCTGCACTCGTAGTGTAACATAAACCGACATCCAAGCCTGAGCTTTATATAAAGCCCTGTGGCCCACTTATCAAGACTCTGGCCCATTTTCTTTGGTGACAAGTCTTTTTGCTTCCCGCATAATACAAGTGTCAGAAAATGGCACACAGCAGAACTGGACTGCAGGAGGTTTAAGATGAGCATTTGTCTTGTTTCTAGTCCAAATATTGAAAACAAATCTTAAATCAAGAAGCATTTTCTAGACAAGCAAAACATATTGTCTTGATTTCAGAAACAACGAGTCAAAATTAGGCGTGTTTTACCTTGAAATAAGTGAAATAATCTGCCAATGGGGTAACTATAATCTCATTTCAAAGCAAAAACAAGATTATTATGGATTTTTTTGCAATCTACTAAAAGATTTCAGCTGCTGTCTGCGCTTTCCAAGTGTTTTTAAACCTCCCTTTCTTCATGTGTTTAACACTTTTTTTTTTGAGTCAATACATTATTTTGGTCGGAATTATTAGCCCCCCTGTTTATTTTTCCCCCCAATTTTTGTCTAACGGAGAGCAGATTTTTCTCAACACAATTATTTAATCATAATAGTGTTAATAACTCATCTCTAATAACTGATTTAGTTTATCTTTGCCATGATGACAGTAAATAATATCAGACTAGATATTCTTCAAGACACTTCTAAAAAGCTTAAAATGACATTTAAAGGCTTAACTAGGTTAATTAGGTTAACTAGGCAGTTATTAGGCAAGTTATTGTATAACGATGTAAACTATCGAAAAAAAATATAGATTAAAGGGGCTAAAAATATTGTCCTTAAAAAGGTGTTTAAAAAATTAAAAACTTATTTTAATCTAGCCAAAATAAAACAAATAAGACTTTCTCCAGAAGGAAAAATATTATCAGACATACTGTGAAAATTTCCTTGCTCTGTTAAACACAATTTGGGAAATATAAAAAAATAGAAAAAAATTAAAAGGGGGGCGAATAATTCAGCCTTCAACTGTATATATATATATATATATATATATATATATATATATATATATATATATTTTTTTTTTTTTTTTTTTTAATTTTTTTTTTATTATTACTTGTAAAGCTAAAAGTTAAGCACACTTTCACACTTCTAAACCATCTCAATAACCCAATTAACCCAATGTGTCTGAATTTGACAACCAACCAAGGGGATAAGAAATTTGACAACAACCCAAAGTGTAATACCTCTATACAATATTATGCAAGACGTCTTAAATAAAACTAACATCCAGATCCAAGTTCCTCAGAGCTGACACGGAGAGACAGGGGTCTTAATCTCCTCCGGAACCTGAGGTTAATTTTGATATCCAGGTATAGTTACAGCCTCTCTGATGGAGGAAAGTGGATCATGTACTCATAAAAGGGAAATTTCCCAGGAGCCTCTTGGATCCAGCAAAGCAACAGGAAATAATTAAACTCGCAAAAGCAAAGACACGAGACCGATGAACACAGCAAGCGATGAAAATCATCATCATGCGAGACCTAAATGATCCTTGAGATAATAATAATAATAATAATGTGCATTCACTCATGTTCCTTCAGCTTAGTCCCTTATTTATAAGGGGTTACCACAGCGGAATGAACCTCCAACTATTCCAGCATATGTTTTAGGCAGTGGATGCCCTTCCAGCCGCAACCCAGTACTGGGAAACACCCATACACTATTGCATTCACACACACACTCATACACTACGGCCAATTGAGCTCATCAATTCCCCTGTAGCGCATGTGTTTGGACTGTGGGGGAATCCGGAGCACCCGGAGGAAACGGGAGAGAACATGCAAACTCCACACAGACCAGTGACCTTCTTGCTGTGTGGCCACTGAGCCACCGTGCCGCACGACATGACAGCTTTAATAACTAATTTCTTTTGTTTACCATGATGACTGTACATAATATTTTCAACCCAAGCTCATTCTGAAAACGTAGCCCCGCAGACGTTTCTGGAGACCACGATTTACGTGGCTGGAGGTACGTATGGCCTGCATTTCATTTTTTCAAGCGAACGATATGGGGCGGTTTGACGTTGCTCCTCTTCGCGCTCGCTGGCTGACGGCTCACCACCGTGTGGAGGGGTTTCCCGCTGCAACCAGTTTGTCCAGTTAGCTCGTCGTGTTACGTTGGCGGAGCGGAGGCACGAAGGAGGAGGAGTTGGCCACGACGACCACCGGGTTTGAGTCCGAGGAACTGCAGTTCCAGAAATCTGGTAAGACAAAAAACAGAATCAATAAAATAAAGCGAACGAGTTCGTAACGTGTCGAGAATACGGTGAAATGCGAAAACGCGATCAAAATTGGACGAGGGCTTTACTTTTTCCGGACGATTTTTGGGTTTAGGGAAGAAGGAGGAGGAGGAGGGTGGCTGGGTCGCCCAGTCAATCAATTGTTCAGTCGTCCAGTCAGTCGGACAGACGGTCGCTTGACAGCGGCCTTCGGCGGCTTTTCACGCAAGAACAGCGCGGGTGCAAATGGCGCACGCTTGCGAGAGCCATTCGAGACGCGAAAAAGCGAACACAGCGACCTCCTGCGGAATCGGGAAAACAAAAACTCCACAAATACGTACCTCCCGGGACGTATTTCGCTGTCTCCAGAAATGTCCGCGGGGCTACGTTTCCAGAATGAGCCTAGGTTGAATATTTTACAGGTTATTTTATAAGACCAGGCACGTGCACACATAGGGCTCAACCTGTGCAGTGCACATGCACTTTTTAGTCTTGGATAGAAAGTGCCCTTCCAAAATGATCAAATGTGCCCCCGCGACGCGGCACACCCTCGGTCCCGCTCTTCAGTAGGCGCGCGACAACACCGCTCTTGAGTACGCGCGCGACAACGCAGCTTATCAGAACGCGCGCGACAACACCGCTTTTCAGTACGCGCGCAACATCCCCCCCCCCACTGCTCTTCAAAAAATTTATCCTGCACATGCCCTTCGGACGGTCTCTGCACGGGCCTGTATAAGACACTAGTATTCAGCTTATAGTGACATTTAAAGGCTCGACTAGGTTAATTAGGCAAGTCATTGGACAACAATAGTTTGTTCTGTAATGATCGAGGATGCATTCGGGAAATATTTGCAACATTTTCACAGCAGAACTAACACTTTTGGCTTCCACTGTATCGTGAATTTAGGAGCTCACTATTTATCTAAACCTGATATAAGAGATAACTCTGCACCTGAGGGGATCTTATAATTTTAGATCAACTTTCCCAACCTACATCATGAAGGCAGGTCTAAAGACACAGCCCACCAAACCAAACGGCTGTCTTTCAGGGAGGGAGAAAGAGAGAGAGAGAGATGAATCTGGGGCACTATTATCTGGCCTCTTTTTCCAAGCAGAAGCAGAGATTTGTGGACGGCGAGCTGGAGTGTAGAGATAGCGTGTTGTAGTGTGACTTTTACCTAAATTAGTAAGCCAAACCAAAGCAAGTCAACTCAAGGACGAAGACGCCTTTAAAACTACGGCACCAACTCAGAGCTCGATTATCTTCGAAAGCCGCCATGTTGGAGGACAAGAAGACCAAGGTGAAGATAACCTTTCTGGTTATCCTGGTGGGCATTTCGTCCATGTTGGCGGCGGTGGTGACGGATCATTGGGCGGTTTTGAGTCCCAGGGTGGAGCGGCTCAATACTACCTGTGAAGCGGCACACTTTGGACTCTGGAGGCTTTGTAAAAAGAGTATCTTCATTGTGGAGGAAGACCCTCAGGGCAAAGGCTGTGGCCCTATCAGCCTGCCAGGAGGTAAGGAAGATCTCGTTATATCGTCTTTAACATGCATTGTTGTCAAAGGTTGGCCTGCAAGATTAATAGTTATGAAGCAAAATCGTAATTTGAAAGGGTAAGATTTTCAAAATCGCATGGAATACGGTAACAAGCATATTGTTTTAGACAGTTTGTATAAGCACAATACGCTGAACAATGTGAAAAATGTAACATGTGAAGGTTTTCTTGTTTACTCAACATAGGCTCATTCTGAAAACGTAGTCGTATGTACATTTCTGGAGAGCGCGAATTATGTAGCCAGAGGTATGTATGGCTGCATTTCATTTTTTAAACGATTGATACTAGGCAGTGTGATACCATTTCTTTTCGTGCTTACCAGTTGACCGCTTACCTCCGTATGAACAGCTTTCCCGCTGTAACCAGTTTGTCCCATTAGCTTGTCATGTTTGTCGGCGGACTTGAGATGCAGAAAGGAGTTGAACACGACAACTGGGTTCGAGTCTGGGGAAGAAAACTTCCAGAAAGCAGGAAAGACAAAAACAGAAGCCAAAAAATTAAATGAACAAGTAAATAACAGGGTGAGAAAGACAAAAACAGAAGCCAAAAAATTAAAGAAACAAGTAAATAACAGGGTGAGAATGTGGTAAAATCTGAAAACGTGCTTTTGAAAATTGTTGGTTGGTTTTAGGGAAGTGGGTCGGCGGGTCGATCTATAAAATTGGTTGGGTTTAGGGAAGGAGGAGGGTGGGTCAGTCGATTGGTCGGTCAGTCAGTCAGTCATTCAGTCAGTCAACAGCAGCCTCTGGTGGATTTACGTGAGAACAGCAGGCACGAATGGCACTCTCGAGAGAAATTTGAGATCTGATAAAGCGTACACAGAGGACTCTCGTGGATTTGCGAAAACAAAAACGGCAAGAAAACATATCCCCTGGGACTTATTTTGCGCTCTCCAGAAGTGTATATAAAGGTACGTTTTTTAGAATGAGCCTGGGCGGGAATTATTCATGTTCTAAATGTCAAAAATGTTTGCTCATTTCAAATTGTTTACAGCTTGTTTGAATTCTTAAAAGTTGAAGGTTTATATATAAATAGTTTAATTTTAAGATACGGTTGTCTCTTTATAAATTAGTTAAGACAACTGACAACTTTATTAAAAAAAAAAAAGGCAAACATATTTAAGGTTTTAAATAAACAATAGCATACTTTACGATTTTGCTTGCTCTTTTTTTAGGCTGTATTAATAACACCACATCAAACCTGTAGCTCTTTTAAGAAAATGTAATACTTATTTACTCCCAAGGCCGTTCATATCAAAGTTTATATTTATCCACACCATGTTGGTGTTTCGTAACATCTAATTTTTTACAAGGTGGGTTGTTAGCCCAACCCTCAACCCCCAACCTGGAAAACCAAGACATACATACATACACTACGGACAATTTAGCTTACCCAATCGACCTATAGCGCATGTTTTTGGACTTGTGGGTTAAACCGGAGCACCTGGAGGAAACCCAGGCCAACACAGGGAGAACATGCAAACTCCACACAGAAACGCCAATTGGTGGAGAGACAGTGATAGAGCCAATTCGGTGGATAGGGATGAGTGGGAGGCCGATGGAGGGAATTTGGCCAGGGCACCAGGGTTACACCCCTACTCTTTACGAGAAGTTCCATGGGATTTTTAATAACCAAAGAGAGTCAGGACCTCGGTTTCATGTCTCGTCCGAAAGACAATGCTCACTGATAGTATGGTGTCCCCTTCACTTTGCTGGGGCATTAGGACCAAGCTCAGCCCTGCTTAGGTTCAGTGAGTAACCGGTCTTGGGTTGCAGGGTGATATGGCTGTTGCAGAAGTGGGGAGCAGAGGAAGCCAAGACAGACATTCTATCATATTCTTACACAGTGCAAAGTTAAAAGGTTTCTTCTCTTAGATTCCCCCATTGTTCAGATTTGGGAGGTAGGTCTTTTCAGATTAGGGTGGGAATCTGTTCTATACCCAAATTTGGGTGGGAGTCTGTTCTGTTGGCTGGAGTCTGGTCATATTCGGGTGGGAGTCTGTTTTGTTAAGTGAAAGTCTGTTCAGATTTGGAAGAGGTCTGTTCAGATTAGACTGGGTATCTGTTCTACATCCAAATTTGGATGGGAGTCTGTTCTGTTGGCTGGAGTCTGGTCATATTCGGGTGATAGTCTGTTTTGTTGGGTGACAGTCTGTTCAGATTTGAGAGGGGGTCTGTTCACATTAGGGCGGGAATCTGTTCTATATCCAAATTTGAGTGGGAGTCTGTTCTGTTGGGTGGAGTTTGGTCAAATTTGGGTGGTAGTCTGTTTTGTTGGTTGAGAATCTATTCAGAATTGGGTCGAAATCTGTTCTATACACAAACTTGGGTGGGCGTCTGTCTTGTCGGATAAGACAGGGCTCAACAATAAGGACTGCCCGATGGCCCGGGGCCAGTGTGAGAGACGCTTGGGACAATAGACAGGATCATTACTGGCCCGATTGAGGCCACCTTTTGTTAAATAATTTCAAACTAAAATAAAATACCTTCACATTTGTCCATACTGCTCTTTTGTTGACACATAATTTTGCTCATTATACATATATTAACATTTTAAAAATATTATTAAAAAAATTAAATAACTATAGACATTAGTTTTGACACATTATTTAGAATACGTGGCTATTAAATTTAATTTTTTCTTTGGTGGGAACAGTGAAAATTTTGAGAGGGCAAGTAAAAATCTGAACCATAGAGTTTCTATGCATCTCTTTCTACCATAGAGTTTCTATGTATCTCCAAATTTCTGCCGTTTGGACCAGTAGAAAAAATCATTAGTGTTGAACCCTGTAAGAGTCTGTTTATGATTGGGTGAGACCTTGTTCTATCCCCAAATTTGTGTGGGAGTCCTCTCACATTTGGGTGGGAGTCTGTTCTATACTCAAATATGGGTGAGAGACTTCAGATTAGGGTAGTAGTCTGTTTTGTTGGGTCAGAGTCTTCTCAGATTTGGGTCGGGGTCTGCTCTGTTGAGTCGGAGTCTGTTCTATACCCAAATTTAGGTGAGAGTTTCTATGTATCTCCAAATTTCTGCGGGAGTATTCTCGCATTTGCGTGGGAGTCTGGTTTGTTTGGAGGGACCATATTCATATTATTTCCTTCTTCTGTTCAACACAAAGCACAATACTCTGAAGAAGGTTAAAAAAGCAGCCGTTGACATCAATAGTGGGAGCAAAACAATTTTAACTTTTCCCCAGCATTCTTCAGTATATCTTCCTTTGGTTTAAAACAAGTGAAGGGTGAGTAAATGATGACAGAATGTTCATTTTTGGGTGAATTGTCCCTCTAAGTCTTGAGAAAGGCAGGTAACAGATCGAACGTCAGACAAAATGATCATAGTATTGAGTGGACGGATGGAGAAACAAGTGGAGTAAGCAGGTAATTGGACCCAGGCTGATGCAGAGTGCAGTAAGACCAGCATCCTCTATTTGTCACACTTCAGGGAGACCTGTGGGGATAAACAAAGACATCACTCTCTCCATCTGCTCCTGTGAATGCCTGGAGCTCCTCTTTAAGCGTAGCCCCAGGACTTACAAGCAGCCAGCTGTGGACGTTTAAGACAGCGGCCTACAGTTCCAGTTGGTTTAAACACCTATTACCTCTCGTGGTTACTTATTGGCTTGAGTACTTAGCTAAGACAGTCATCATTTAGCATGTATCCTCAGCTTCAGGCACCATTTATGTTTCCATCCTCCTATTTTCAACCCAAGCTCATTCTGAAAACGTAGTCCCGTGGACGTTTCTGGAGACAGCGAAATACGTCCCGGGAGGTACGTATGGCTGCATTTCTTTTTTTTTTTAAGTGAACGCTACGGGGCGGTGTGACGCCGTTCCCTTTCGCGCTTACCGGCTGACTGCTTACCTCCGTGTGGAGGGCTTTCCCACCGCAATCAGTTTGTTCGGTCAGCTTATTGTGTGCGTCGGCGGACTTCAGATGCAGAGAGGAGGAGTTGACAAAGGCGTCCGGGGAAGAGCGGTTCCAGAAACCAGGTAAGACAAAAACAGAATCCAAAAAATAAAGCGAACGAGTGAACAACAGGGTGAGAATGCGGTGAAATCCGAAAACGTGGTAAAAAAAAGAATAAAATAACAGACGAGGGCTTTTCTGTTTCTAGACGGCTTTTCTAAATTGTTGCTCGGGTTTTGGGAAGTGAGCGGGCGGGCGGGTCAATCGGTAAAACTGCTTGGGTTCAGGGAGGGAGGAGGGCAGGTCAGGTTGCGCAGTCAATCATTCAGTCAGTCAGACAGCGGCCTCTGGTGGGTTGACGCGAGAACAGCGCGGGCGCGAACGGCACTCGCGAGAGACGCTCGAGATACGAAAAAGCGCACACAGCGGCCTCTCGCGGATTCGCGAAAACAAAAACTGCACAAATACATACCACACGGGACGTATTTTGCAGTCTCCAGAAACGTCAGCTGGACTCCGTTTTCAGAATGAGCCTGGGTTGCCTATTTTTATGCACATTTTGGAATATCTCAACATAAATTATTCAATGAAAACTCCTAGATTGCAATATATTTTGAAAAGGTGTATGGGAAAAGGAAAAATGCGCATAAACTACGATGGAAACACATTTAGTGCGGTATGCGTGATGTGATTTAGTTTTTCTCAGATGATGATCACATGTTAATGTGCATGATGGGACGCATTAATTGACCAAGCAGCGATTCCAGCACATTGTAAGGCATCTGAAGTGTTGTGCTCATTTCTAAAACCCCTCAGTTGTCAGTCCGTCATCACAGTGCTTCAGTGTTATTATTAATCTATTATTATTCTCTCCAGAACTGTGTTGAGCATCTGTCTGCACTCTCAAAAAGTGCCTCCAAAAGCCACCTCGTTCATCACGTTCAATCTTGAAATGAGGCTACAATTCACACAGACTCACCAAAACTGGACAATAGAAGATTGGAGAAACGTTGCCTGCTCTGATGAGTCTCCATTTCTGCTGACACATTCAGATG